AGTAGGGATTTGAGTACAGAGAATTTCTTTTGACATATGGTGCACTCATGTGGCTTCTCTCCAGTGTGAGTTAGCATGTGTGACCTCAAATCAGCTGTGCTAACGAATTTCTCGGGGCACACAGAGCATTTATGTGGCTTCTCTCCTGTGTGCCGGGCTAGATGAGTCTTCAGATAGCCAACTTGCGTGAATCTCCTGTTGCACACGACACACTCGTGCAGCCTCCGGTCCCGGTCCTCCCCGGTGTGGGATAGAATATGACGCTGCAGCCCATTAGACTGAGCATATTTCTTGTGGCATATCGGACACTCATACGCCTTCTCTCCTGTGTGGACGCGTAAGTGAACCCGAAGGCCTTGAGCCTGTGTGAATTTCTTTTGACAGAAGCTGCACTCATACGGCTTTTCTCCAGTGTGGATTCGCATATGTTTCTGCATATCGCCAGAGTCAGCAAATTTCCTCTGGCACACAGGGCATTCATACGGCTTCTCCCCAGTGTGCTTTCGGAAGTGCCTCCGCAACCCGCCAGATTGGGTGAATTTCCTCTGGCACACGGTGCACTCGTACAACTTTTCCCCAGTGTGAGTTCGCAGATGAATCTTCAGATTGGGAATGAGCGCGAACCTCCTGTGACATACTGTGCACTCGTGTGGCCTCTCCCCCGTGTGGGTTAGCAGATGAGACTGTAGACCACCAGCTATAAGAAATTTTTTGCCACACACAGAGCACTCAAATGGCTTCTCTCCAGTGTGCGTTCTCTGATGCACCTTCAAAGCGACCTCAAAAGTAAACTTCATGTGGCACACTGAGCACTCATATGGCTTCTCTCCTGTGTGAATTCGCATATGTTGCTGCAGACTGCTCGGACCGGAAGACTCCTTGTAACAGATGGGACATTCGTGTCGCTTCCTTTGCCTGGTAAAAGCCACTGGCTCTGGCGGACGCTCTTCTCCGGTATGAGCAGTTCGCAGATGAATCTTCAGAGTACCAAGTACCGCGAATCTCTTGTGACACACGGTGCACTCGTGCGGCTTCTCACCCGTGTGGGTTGACAGGTGTGAACTTAAATTGCCAGATTGACGAAATTTCTTGCCACACACAGAACACTCGAATGGCATCTCTCCAGTGTGTGTTCTCTGGTGCACCTTCAAACTAACCATAAAACTAAACTTCACGTGGCACACAGAGCACTCATATGGCTTCTCTCCTGTGTGAATTGGCATATGTTGCTGCAGTTTGCTCGGATTGACAAACTGCTTGTAACAGACGTGACATTTGTATCCCTCCATGTGCTGGGGAGGAGCCATTGGTTCTGTCGGGAGTTCTTTAGAAAACTCGACCGATAATAGTGGACTCTGCCTGTGACAGCTGGAAAGAGACAGAGAAATAGTCTTCGTTATTACTCTTTTGAAAAATAAATATTGTATACCCTAGTTCCTAGTTCGTAATTAACACATTCCCTACGGCACATTATTATTGATGCCTCTGATTGTTAAAGTGACTCTCTGAAGAAACGAGAGAGTGATACAGCTGAGCAACGTGCGCGCACGCGGGCTATCGCCGCATCCAGCAGCAAACAAATTTGTTCCCTCAGCCAGGATCAGGAAGAGAAAAAGAAACTCTTTTGACAGCATGTTTTTCCTGTAGAGGCCAGATTTGCCATGTCAAACAGACCTTTAAAATAGTTTTTTGTTTATTGAGTGAGTAATCCTCTATGGGATATACCAGGTGGCTGATTAACCCCGCGCACTGCCTTAGTTAGACTGTACCGCACGCACGAGTGCGGGCGGGTTGCCTACTCGCCCAGCCTGTAAGGGCGCCGTGGACAGGGGCGATAGGCAAGCCCAGCCGCACTCATACGTGCGGTACAGTCTGACTATAGCCACCTGATATGCTATAGTAGCACAAAAGTTGTACAATTTTTCAAAACACCCCGTGGAATTGTTTGAGTTTAATTATTTTTTTTAGCGCTCCGGTCGGCATCGAGTGTCGAGTACCCACCAGGACTTACTTTATTATTTTGAAGCGCCGCCAACGGTGGCCACTTGGGGAAAACAACAATTAGATTCTCAAATAATCCAAGTGCACAGCTCGACCAACTCTCTAGCCGGCCGGTGCGGCATTCCGGGAGTGCATCGTGCATCCGTGGTGCTGGGTCGGGTGGACCTGGGAGAGGGGGAGAGGCGTAAGGCTCTCCAGCTGCCGAGGCATAAGAGCCAAGGAGAGCTGGAGAAGAGCCCCTCCTCCCCCTCCCGTGAGAGGAAAGGGGGGGGGGGCGCTCCGCCCGGTCATGCAGTTGGAGAGTCCTGCCCATGAGCGGGGCATTCCGTCGTCTTATCAAAACGAACAAAATACATCAGCGGCGGCGATAAAGCTTTCTGCGGAAAACGGACATGCAAGCGAGATAAAACGATAATGGTGGAGGGGGGGGGGGGCAAAGGAAGTCCGCCTGAGTCACGAGGGACGAAGGGAAGACCCCGTCAAGAGAACCCCGCCGAGAGGACCCCGTCTCTCCCCGTACCGTGGTGGCCACAGTACGCCTTGTGCTCACGGCTCACGGCGCTGGCCATTTCACCGCGCCAAGGCCACCGCCACGCCCAGACAGGCGCGGGACGCCTCGGAACTCTCCGCCTCCTCCATCCCTAAGATCGCTATCCGTTACTCTTGTCCAGCACATGCTCCAGCCTGCCTCCACGGGTAGGTACACGTGCACCGCGAGGCCACACACACACACGCGCGCGAGCGCGCACACACAAGGGTGGGGGCAGCAAGTATAACCCAGCGATGGTAATATGCAGTTGGTTCCCGATAACCGGATAGCCCCCTCCTCCCTCCCAATCGCCGACGTGCACGGGGCACTTAAAGCAATTACCAGCAAACACCGCTTCTCACCCCGCCCCCCCCCCTTCCCCGGGTGCTCCCACAGGGCATTATTGTTACTATTGTGGCTCCGATCGCCATTAGACGAACGAAAAGAACAAAAGCCACCGTCCGCCATCTTTTCGCTCCTTTTCTCGCGCGCGCGCTCCGCTCCGTGCTCTGCTTCCTGGTGGCGAAGGCCGTGGTCCTGGTGGCGGTGGTTGTCTACGGACACCCAGGTGCCTGGCCGCTGTCCAGCGCGTCGCGGGCACACTTGCTCTATGGTCCTCCCTCCGGTACACTGACTCACAGTAGTGCGCGCAAGAAATCGCCTTGCCAAAAAGAAAACCCGTCAATTCACAATAAAACCTCTACACTTTAAAGAGCAACACATTACCAGGTAACCCCTCAGCTCGCTTCTGAAGCTTGAATACACCCACTGCACCGCTAGCCGGCGAGTGCGGGATTGCCTCATCGCCCAGACCGTGGCGCCCTGCGGGTCGAACGAGTAGGCAACCCGCCCGCGCGTAGGAATGCGGTTCAGCATAACTGGAGAAGTGCGCGCGGGGTGTATCAGCCACCTGAAACTATCTATAACTGACCTATGGCACCGCTCTACCCCCTTTCCCTTCTTTGTCTGTCTCTGAACGTATGATGCGATAGAGACGTGTTAAAGAGATAGAAGAACAGAGAGAAAAGAGAAATGGGCGGGCAAGGTGGGACGGAGGGCCTTGGATGGCGCCGACGTAAATACAGTCTCAGCTCAGACACACTGCCCCGGCCCGGGCCCGTGTGAGCACGGCGCGAAGCACCGTGTTTAGTACTACGGGACTCACTCCGTCAAGGGCTCGACCAGGGTGACCAGCACGGAGGCCTCGGGGGATCTCAGATAACCCCCACGTAACGGGGGGGGGGGGCCGCGCCCCCGTCGCAGCTGTTGCAGGAGGCGTGCCTCGTCTTGGAGGAAATACTCCTCCGCCCCTCGCGGCCAGGGAACCAAGGGAACCTTGACGCACGAAGACATAAGACATACTAAAGTTTAAATAGACAAGACATCACAGGAGAAATAATGCAACTTGCACAGTCGACACTTTTATTTTATTTATTTTTTCCTGCCTTGCGCCGCCGCCGACAGTTGTTCATTCTTTTCCCACACGCCACTCTACGCCACTCCGCGCCGGGTACACGGCGGGGGGAAAAGTAATAATAATAACTATAGTCTGGCTGGGTGCGGCGCGAGAGTGCAACGCGTCTGAGTCGAAAACACTCGTATCAGGAAGCGGACGCTAACGCTGACCGCTTGTTCGGCTGCGCTAGGGGTTTTCTTTGGACTGTCCCCCACCCCCTGGTCTCCCCCCTCCCCGAACCACTAGTGCAAGGTGCGCAGGTACGGACTCCAGCCGCGCCAGGTGTGCGGTGCTGGAGGGGCTGGAGGTGTCAGACACGGAGGGCCAACCCTTCCGCCCACAAGAGCGAGGACACAGACACAGTCTCACCTCCAAATCAGAGGACGGGAGGAAGAGAAGAGTTGAGGGGCGCCAACGACAGAGGGGCACTGCAAACTGCGTCGGAAGCAGTGTTTAAAATTCATTCATTTGACCGACATGTGTCGGGGGGGCGAGTCAAGAGACCATTGGGTCATACGACGCTCCACGACCTGCCGAGACGTCGGAGACTGCTTCATGGAGGCGCGGCGAGCACCGCTCCCTTTCACCTCACCTTTAGTTTGTCTTCACATTCAGGCTGCAGCAGGCCGGGACCAAGGTAATCCACTCAAAATCCTTTGCGAACGATGCGCTGCACACTCGCACTGACCACACTACTTGTTGCCGGTCACACTCGCGGGCCGGGTCGGCCGGCTGTCAGGCCCACTCCCGGCTGTGCGGGCGGGCGCGGGGCGGCGCCAACGACGAAACGGGCACTGCGCGTCGCTCGGGCGAGAGGCAGCCACTGACTGAAGGAAAGGAAAGGAAGGATCTGCTCGGCTCGGCGAGATGGCTCGGGCTCCACCGCTGCAACCGCTCCGCCACCACAGGCCGCCACTGCCGCGGCCGCCTACCGCCACCGCAGTCCGGGAGGGGGCCGAGCGAGCTGCTTGAGGGCCGGTGTGCCCCGCCCGGCTGTCTACCTGTCCGCCGCCCCCC